AGGTGCTCAGGCTGTTCGTGAAGTCTTGAATGTTCTTTTTTTCCCTGTTAGTACCTCCTCATTTTGACCTAGAAATCTCTACTTTAAGATCCAAGTGAAATGGGAGCTGGCCACTAGCTGTCTCTTCTGAGCAACCCACCACTAGCTGTAAACCACCATTGTTCCCTGCTGTCCAGGAAGTCAAAGCCCTTCACACTCTAGCTTTCTCTTCTGATAAAGCAAGTCCCCATAGCTCTCTGAACCTCAAGATCGATATGTGCACATTTAGAATAACACCCCCTGCCTGGGAAATGATTCCCTTCATTTGTAGTCCACAACACTTCAAACACAACAAACCCTTATGAAAGTCTGGCTCACAAGTTCTGTCAGTACAATGACAGTCAGTGAATGTGCATTGGAAGAAACAATAGGAAGAGGGTTGAATGTAGCTGTGGCCTGCCCATGCTGCTAAGGGTCTGACAAAGCTATTTCTTCAGCCTAACCTAAGAAAACGAACCGATTCTTCCTGAAGAGGGTTAAAACAGGCTGCTCCTTGAAGGCAAGGATTCTGAGGCTTCATCTCACATACTTTGGATGTGTTGCAAGGAAGAACCAATCCTTGGAGAAGAACATGCTTGGGAGGGTGGAGGGACAGCGCAGGAGAGGAAAACCCTCTATGAGGTGGATTGATTCAGTGACTGGGGTAATAAGGGTAGGTGTGTTGGAGACAGTGAAATTAACACAGGGCAGAGCAGGGTTTAGGGCTGTTGTACATAGGGTCACTTTGAGTCGCACACAACTCAACAGCACATAACAACAACAACAGCCTGGAAGGTGGGTTTCTCATGATCCAGAAGGGAGGGTGGGTTTAGAGTGGGTTGTGTCGTGGTCATCTGCTCTGCCATTGTGTAAAGTTGTGCTGACAGAACAGTTAAATGTTTGGTTTGGTCCGGTCCCTGAGGCCTTCCTCATTTCTGGTGGTAAGTGAAACCAAAATACTTCCTGGACAAACTCAGAAAAACGTATGGATCTTGTCAGACTTTTAAAAAAATTGATGCAACCACAGGGTGAGTCAACTCAGTGGAGGGAATAGGGCAATGAGTTTTTTATTTATTCTTCAGGAAGAAAGCTATTTTAAGCATGCCAAGTGTGAGATATGCTTGCTTTCTTCCATAAATCAACTCTCTTCTTGGGAATTTTAGATCTATATATTGATCTGCATGGACTCTTGTCCCTTAAGTCTTCCTTCCATTAATCATCCAGTCACTTCCTAGAAAGGATATTCCTAGAGATTATTTCCCTACTCACACATACAGGGCTTCTAATGTCAGCAGACAACCTCGCTTTAGGACTTAGAGGCAAGCATGCTGCAGTGGTCACTTCTTGTGAACATGAAAATTACTTGTATGTACGATGATCTAACCCAATGTCAAGAGACAAATCCCCTTTCCCAGTGGTCCTACAAGAACAAAGCACCCAGCACAGTCACAGAAGCTATTTCCACAGATGGTATATACTACAAAGTGTTATACTTTAATCAGAATATTGTCCCAAGAAAGAGAAACAGAGCCTTGATCTTTCATGGAGTCAGGGTCCTCCTCCTAGGAGACAAAGAACTGGTTAAAGATGACTAGATGTGCCTCAGGACTTGCAAGTTGCATTGAAGATGCCACTGAATCTTGTCCTGAATATAGAATCTTCTACCCATATTCTTCACATAATCACAGTGCTTGAAATTGCGCCAATTAGAGAGCCATTTAGAATACAGTGGCTGTTACTCATGTGCATGTTGGTGTAATTTAGATTCAGCCCATTGTTTTCCCCTTAACATAACCACAGTCGATTCTATCTCTCTTAACACCACCTCTAGTGAAGAGTTTTGAAGACAGGAAGCAGATGGAAAGGGTAGAGAAAGCTGGCTTTGGATGTTGAGCACTGAGAGACGGTAGGCTGGGGAGGCCGGCAACAAACTCAAGTTACCAGGAGATACCAGTGCAGAAAGACAAGGGTGGAGCCTTGCCAAAAGGCAGAGGGACGGTGGGAGCAGATACAGTGCCTCTCCTTGAAACTTCTGCCTAGTAAGAAGACCCGACAGTGAGTAACAGGGTAGTGGGTATAAGCAGGACTGTGCTCAGTACAGCTCCAACAGAGTTGAATGTCAAAATACAGATCCCTAACATTTTAAATCATCTGAGTCCAGGTGTGTTCCAAAAGCCAGATTTTTAGAGTTTGGAAAGGCAAGACAGTTTAAAAATCCATATAAATAGCATCAGTTTGGTCCAAAGTAATTAGGAAAGAATATGTGATTCTAAGAGTCCTTTATCTTTCAGCATTGGTGGATAAGAGGCTGTATTTCTTTTTTTTTTTTTTAAGAGGCTGTATTTCTATACTATTTGAGAAACAGTGCATAGACTCTTCCAGCTACCCTAAGCACCTTGCCACGGCCTTCGCTGGACCCAGCACCTCAAAAGGGCCAGGTACCTCAGGAGGCCCTGAGCACATGCAGATGACTCCATGTTCTGTGTCATCTTAACCTTTAAGTTGCTAAACACTTATATGCTTACCCCTGGGAGGCCCTGGGACTTGGGGGTTACCCTGAATGCCCACAGTCCTGAGAAGAAGCTGTTGGTGCAGTGGGAAAATGCCCAGGCTTATAGTCTGAAGGCTGTGGGTGCGTTTTAACTCTGCTTGTTCACTAGCTCTAAGACTTTGAGTAACATTCCCTCTTAGCCTCAGTTTCTTTATCTATAAAATGGGGATCTCCTGTGGTTAATAGGAGGATTGAATGAAGAATTTCATTAAAGTTCTTTATACAGAAAATAGCTTATGCAAGAGGCAATCACTCCTACCTCTACATTGTTAGAGAAGTAAGACTGTATACGTGAAAATACTGTAACTTGTATACAGAATAGAGTTCTGTTATTACAGTGTGCTTCCCAACCTTTTTAGCATTGAGCAAGCAGCCTGTGCAGTGAAGTAAGAAGATCCTATCCCTTTCGAAACCTTCTATGCAAATGCTCATCTCCAGCCCACCCCTGTGATCTGGCTCTCTAGTAAAGAGGACAGACAACCTAAAGGCTCACCTTGGAAAGGAAACGCACAGAGATTTCCAAGGGAGTCAGCCCTCAGGGCACCTATCCACTTCCTGACTCTTCTAAGCGACCCTCGAGCAGCCATGGCCCACCATTGTGGCCAATGCCTAGTAGTGTAGTCAGAGCCCTGGGCTCTAACACCAGCCTTCCCACTCTGACTCCATCCCCTGAGCAATTCCTTTAGTTCCCTGAGCCTCAAGGTCTACATGTACACATGTAGACCACCTACTTCTGAGGAGAATCTCTGGTAGGTGTGAATGGTCAAGTACTTGACTGTTATCTTAAAGACAGGAGGTTCAAATCCACCCTGAGGCATCTTGGGAGATAGGTCTGACAATCTGCTTCCAAAAACAAACCCCAAAACCCTGTGCAGCACCAGTCTGACCTGACACACGTGGGTCACGATGACTCAGAGACAGTATGGTGGCAGCCAGCTACAGGGTGCTATATGATTCAGATGTGAGATGATTATTAGCACTGAAAGCTGGGGGCGGGGGCGGTGACAGCAGCTCAGAAGCTGACATTTTCATTGTGATGGGACTGAGTTGCCAAAGTTTGCGGGGAGAAGCCAGCCCCTTTCTTGAGCAAAATGAGGAAAACAGGAGGCAACACATCTCAGCTGTACAAACTCCCTCCCCTGGGCCCGGACGAAGAATCATAAGGTACTTTTGGGAGTGAGTGAATGGAATCTGTAGCCCCCTGGGCACCTCACGAGTTGTTTCCTGCATTCTGCTGGGGTTTGCTTTGTTCTTACTTCTGGAGTTTTCCTTAATCTGTAGCTTTTACCCGTTATGTGTGATGCTGGGGCCCTGGAGAGCTAACAGCATGGTGTTTTAAAGGATGGATGTTGTGTTTTAACTGTAGGCACCAAAGTTCATAGTGGAGCTCTCCACAGAGAACCTTGAGCCATGCTGTTGCATTGCATGTCTGAATGTTTGACAGAGTTGATGGTGAAGCTCTGGGCATTGTTGTGAAAGGCCTGCCTTTATCCAGCCAGACCCAATGGGCTGCAGTGGATTTGGTGTGAATACCCTGACTGATCACCTATGCTCTAAGGGACTCGTTGCATTTTCTTACTCGTGTGTGACAGACTTTCTTTGTTACCTAATTATTAAAAAGGGGAAGAGTGTTACCAAGGTACATCATTGTCTCAAACTTCAGAATTCAACATAAGACAGTCTCAGTGGTTTGTGTCAATGACTACATTGCAGAGATCAATGACTCTTGGTTTTTCCCTGTTTTTATTTTCACCTTTTTAAAAAAAAATTCTAGAGTTCTTTCTGTCCTGCTAGAATACTGCTTTGACACAGAAAAAGAGAAGAGCGTTTATTTGTGTTCTTCCTTGATTCAAGAGTTATTTGACAAAATCAGCTTTTCCGTGATACAGAGATTAAACAACTTCCAACTTTATGGGAATCTTCTTTGGGATTTAACACACTTCTGATTGAACAATGTAAAGATGATGCCAAGACAGACAGCTTGAAAATGCAGGAAGCATATGAACTACATCTGTCCCAAATAACCTCCTGGTTTATATTCAAAGCTTTCTTCTTAATAGGGTTTGTTGTTTGTTTGTTTGTTTGTTTGTTTGTTTTTAAATTGCATGTCAAACTTCCTTCAAGGAGAAAATATATATGCCTTATAATTATCTCTGCTTAACCATGGCTTCATCACAAAGGCACTCATCTCATATATTGTAGTAGAGATATTCTTAGACATCACTATTTAACCGAAACTTCAGATTATGTGTAATAACTAAATGATCAACATCTTCACCCCAGGTTCAGGATTATGACCACAATTACCTAGAACTGCCTCCTGCTTTGAGAATTTGGTGTCACTGTTTTTGCTTAACCTCTGAATGAGTCTTAGGGATGGAATATGACTACTTTGTGAGAAAGCAAATTAATACTTGTATTGTCTCCCCAGACCCAAGGGGCAGGTTCTCCTCGCTCCTCTCCCAGCCACACCATCAGCAGGCCAATCCCCATGCCCATCCGGTCGGCGTCCACCTGCTCTACCCCGACACACACGCCTCAGGACTCCCTCACTGGGGTCGGGGGAGATGTACAGGAGGCCTTTGCACAAAGTAAGTGCCTTTGGTTTTTTATTGGATACTACTTATAAGTTGGAAATCAATCTTTATTGTGTATTGAGCAGTTGAGAGTTATCAGAGTATACTGAGTATGTACTAAGGTATCCCATGACTGTATTAGAATTCCCTATCCTGATTTCTTTCACTTAACAACTTTCCGTCCTTCTTCTGTTAACCTCCTTCATTTTCCTGTGAATTTTAACTCACTAAAAATAAAAAGAAATGCTCACTACCATTGAGTACAGAGGTAACTCACAGTTGCTGTGATGCTGAACACTGTGACACTGATGTGCCAAATGCGATAATGGTTACCCATGGTGGACTGTGTTTGCTGGAGCTTCCCGACTAAAACAAGCCTGGAAGCAGGAGGGGCATCCACTTCCGAAATGACTTGTCTCTGGAAACTCTATGAACAGTGCTCAGGCCTTTCGTTCATAGGGTCGCTATGCGTCGTCTATGACTCGATGGCACCTAACAACAACAACAACCATTGAGATAAACTGCCTTACAGCAGACCCTCCAGTGGGTTTCCCACACTGCAAATCGTACAAGAAGAGATAACTCATCCTTTCCCCTTAGGTCCATCAGTGGATTTGAACTGCCTGTGGACTGGGCCACCAGAGATCCCTGAGCTTTTATTAAAAAACAGGACTCTTTCAACCACTCTCCTAGGAAACTTTATACCTGGAGATTGTTTTAAATATTTAAAATAGCTTCATATTTCCTATTATTTCTCTTTGTGTTAAACTCAAGACTAAGATTGAACAACCTCAGGGTTTCAGTCATGCGGACACAAAAGGACTTTGAGTCATTTGACAGCAAATGATGTCCTGAGGAGTTGAATCCTTGCCTGTGTGGTCGGGCTACAAGGTTAGATACCCGTGGTTAAGGGAGGAACCCGCAGAGTGGTGGAAGATGGTACCTACATTCTCTCGCCAGCTGCCCCTCCATTTATATTCTGCTGGGGAAGCCCAGAGGAGCCCTGGTGGGAGAGAGCACTGCTATCTGAAAGGTCTCCTTTTGAACCCACCAATTGCTCCGTGGGAGAAGGAGGAGAGTCTGCCTCAGGTGATGCCTCAGGTAATGGGGAGCTATTACAAATGATGCCACAAGGAGCATCTCCCTACAGGCGGATTTTTCTCACTCAGACACACGTAACTCTCTCAGACAAACAGTCCTTTCGTGATTGAAAAGTCTTTATGAAAATAAATATTTGCAGCCTTGGAAATGCTATGGGACAGGTCTGAGATAAAATCAATTGCCGGCAGTGGGTTTTGGATTTTGGAGGTACCCCAATATGTTGTTGTCATTGTTGTTATGTGCCTTCGAGCCAACTATGACTCCTAGTGACCCTATGAACAGTAGCTCTGAATGTTGCCCTCTCCTGAGCCAGTCTCACCATCTCTGCCACACCTGCCTCCATTGCCACAGTCTCTGTGTCAATCCATGTTATTGTTGTGTGCTGTCAAATTGAAACCTACCCATCACTGACCCTCCAGTGGGCTTTAAGAGGCAGTTAATCGCAGGAGAAGAGATCGCCCATCAGTCTCCTGTGGAGCAGCCGGTGCCCTCAGACCATGTGCCTTTGGGGTTACATCTCAGCTTCTTACCACGAGGCCACCAGAGCTCCTCCACAGTGACCTTATTAAGTTGGAAATGTTAACACATTTTAAAACTTCTCCTGCCATTATGGCTTACGGGGGGGTTTGTTTGTTTATTTGTTTTCCATTAATAAAATACAGGGGGGGAAATCCAAATCCTGCTACACGCCCTCCCCCTCACTGCTCCAATCTCATTCGCTCATTCCCAACAGTATGTAACTACCATCAGAAGTGTAATCCTTACCAATTCTTTGCTCATATATGGGTAGGTACTTCTTTTTTCTTGGGGGCGGGGGTAGGTACTTCTATAGAAATGCTGTTCATGCAAAATTTGCAATTATATTTTCTTTGAGTTAGTAATGTATCTCAAATTTCCTTCCTAGTCTTTACATAGAAATCTAAGTATCATAATTTCAGATTTACCGAAGACACCCAAGGATTCTGAGGCTCTGTCTAACATACTTTGGGCATGTTGTAAGGAGAGACCGGTCCTTGGAGAAGGACATCATGCTTGGTAGGGTGGAGGACAGTACAGGAGGGGAAGGCCTTCTTTTAGGTGGACTGATTCAGTGACTGGGGTAATCGGGATGGGTGTATCAGAGATGGTGCTATTGACACAGGACAGAGCAGAGTTTAGGGCTGTTGTAACATAGGGTCACTATGAGTCACAAGCAACTCCACAGCACATAACAACAACAACAACAAGCTAAGACAACCACATATCAATAAGAACAAGATGTTCTCCAAATAAAATTAGATAGGCAAGAAATGAGCAGACAGGAGAAATAATATAGACTGGTAATAAAAATATGAGCAGATACTCAAACTCACAAATAATTATAGAAGTACAGATTTTAAGAAATGTCAATGTTTGTCTAACAGATTAAAAATTAAGAATTTTTACTGTAGATCACATAAAAGAATAGTAAGAGTGTGAGGGAACAGACTTCAACCTCTGTGTAGTGGAGTAAAACCTTTCACTCTGTTATGAATGAAAGGAGCGGATTCATAATAGGGCCTTTTCTTTTCAACAATGAATGCAATTCAAGAGTTTTTAGTGACATTTACAAAATAACGTTTAAAAACAGTTTCCCCCAAGGAGCAGCTTGGTTTCACCCTCTCCAGGAGTGACCTGTTCTCTTGGCAGTCCATGATTCAGTACTCTTCTCCAGAACCATACCTCAAAGGCATCAATTCTTTTGACATCCTTGGTCATTGTTGAGCTCTCTTATGCCCAAAAAGTAATTTTGAAGACCATGACCTGGATCAGGTACATCTTGGTCTCTAGACTGAAATCCCTGCTTTTCAGCATTCTGGAGTTGTCCCTAACAACAGATTTTCCTAAAATAATTCATCTTTTGATTTCCTGACTGCTGGTGTCAAGAATTGTGCAGAAGGTTTTTGAAGACCTGTTGTTTCTAAAATGGATGACAGTCCTTCTCCCTCATCTACCTTCATTTAAATGTTCAGCTTAGAGCAATATCTGGCCGACAAACATTTTACCCAGAAGAGCAGATGAAACATACTTGGAAAGGAAACAAAGTCTTTCTGAATAGTCTTGGGAGTTTCCTTGGTTTAGGATATCAGTGGAAATAGTAGATAAGTAATAATTCTTTGGAAAGAAGGGACCGCTTTGATGGTTGTTGTTGTTGTTATTATTGTTGTTGTTGTTGTTGTTATTATTATTATTTGTTTCAAAGGCTCAAGAAGAAATCTGAGGAACGATCTGCTGGTGGCTGCCGACTCCATCACTAACACCATGTCGTCTCTAGTGAAAGAGCTTAATTCTGGTGAGTCTCTGCCCCACCCCCAGCTGCCTCATTACTAAGGAAGCCATGAACATGGCGGGGGTGGAGAGGGAGTCTATTTGCCATCATATATAAAAAGATTTTTTTAAAAAAACATCTCTGTGACATTTTACTGGCCTACTCGAAAGTTGAATGATGTTTAATGAAAGCTGATTAAGCCACTGCTTTCAAGTTCATTTTACCTCGTAGGGACCCTCCATGGAGTTGCTAAAGGCTGTGAGTTTTTCAGGAGACTGATTGCCAGCCTTTCAGTTTTAGTAACTCAACTTGTCATGCACACAATATAAGAAGTTTGAAAAGTGCAGCAAATAATGAGGAAAAATATTAAAATCAAGCTATACCTCTGGAACCTAAAGATAATAAAATGTTCACTTTTTGCTCCACTCACAAACACATTTATCTGAAAAATCTGTGTTTAAATGTCTATGCAGGTATGAAGTAGCAGTGGGGTGTGTGTGTGTGTGTGTGTGTGTGTGTGTGTGTGTGTGTGTGTGTTTACTTCTGCATCTTATATTTTTGTTTCTGTACATTATCGTCCCATGTTGAAAAGTTGGTAGTTCAAGTCCATCTGGAGGTACCTCAAAAGAAATTCCCAGTGGTCTATTTCTAAACAGTCAGCCGTTGGAAACCCTGTCATGCATGTCCACTCTGACACACTTAGAGATCACCAGGAGTCAGACCAGCTCAGTGTCATGACAGTGAGGGATCTTCCATTGCCTTTCCCCTACTTACAATTCTAGGTTTGTGCTGTTTACTGTCCGTTATATGTTGCTTTAAATCAGACACTTAGCAATTTGGACCTGTGTGAAGACCACACTGTTAAATGCAAGCAGCCCCTTTACAATCTGTAGTTAAATCCCCATAAGGCCAATGATACTAAAATGGGATTCTCCGAAGGTCAAGAGCTGTGTTCAGTGGAGACAGGAGGCCACCTTGACAGGTATGCTTCTGAATGGACAGGCTGTGCTGGTGACTGGGTCAGGCTGGAACTTTTGGCACCTCTGGGCATAGAGGGGAGGCAGAGAGGCAGATGGGGTGTGCAGAAAGGTGGCCCCAGGACCAGCAGTGCAGGTGCTGGGAACACAGCTGGCAGTGGTGGGGGCTCGATCCCATTACCCTAATGGTACAGCCTGTTCTGAGTCATGTGCCATCACTGCCTCTGCTGCCTGGATCAGGAAGCCGACCCAGTGGTTCTGTGTAGCCCAGTCCACCAGTACCTGAGGCAGGAGTGGGGAGCCAGGAGTGTGGCCAGGAACAAGACTGAAAGGGTGCTTGCTGTGTGGGTGAATAAAGCCAGGAAGAAGCGAAGGAGGATTCAGGTGATCAAAGTGCACCCCAGAACCCAGCTGCTTGTTCATTTTGGGGACTTGCATGTCTTTAAACCCACTGAGGGGAAATGATAAATAAAAGCACTTCTGGTGGGATAGTGGGTTATGTGTTGAACCACCAACTGGAAAGTCAGCAGTTTGAATCGCCAGCTGTTCAGTGGGAGAAATGTGATCCAATCACCTCCCATCACGATTAACACAGCCTGAGAAAGCAGATGCAGGGTCAGAACCAACTTAGATTTTCAGTTACCTTTCGATGGAATGAGTTTGGGGTTTTTTATCTTTTTATATTTATTTATATATCTATTTATGGTGTGGTGGTGGTTTTTTAAAAATAATTTTTTATTTTAATTGTCATCTTAACAAAAGTTTACGGAAAAGATAGATTTTCATTCATTCATTGTTGCACATTTTACCCCCCTTCCTCCCTTCCCCCTCCCCAAGTTGACTTTTTAAAATTTATTATTAATTTCAATGACGATGTAATGAGTTTTTATGGGCACCAGAGTTTGCTGGATTTCCTAATTAGTTCCTTAACATACTTACCCAGATGTTGTGAGCTTGGATTTTAATTGTATTTTGTCATTTTTATATTGCTTTGAAAATTCTCTTTGTTTACTAGCTAACTTTTTTATTTCTTTTACTTTTTTCTTTTATACTGATTTGTTTACAAAGTTCAAATACATTATTTTTCACACAAGATCCTTCCCCTTTCCTCTGCACAACCCCCACCCATCTAAATGTGCAATCCTATGATTAACACCACCACCCCCATCCTCACCCCTCTGCCTTCTGAAGGTGTTGTTTTAACTAAGTGCATGTAGTGGACCTGGTGAATCCCTTGTGGATGCCAGCATTTTTTCTTCAATGCATTGGTAGAAGATGAAGGATAGTAGAAACTTTTGTCTTTTCCAGTTGTTGGTTCACATATGACCTGGAGGTAATTAATGTTGGAAGGTCAAGTCTCCTCTGGTTCCTGGTCCCCTGTGGACTTGTACTGTTTCATGGCCACACCCCTCATCAACCTAGAAGTCAAGCAGAGGAACCGGGATGATCTGAATTTGATGCCAGCTGTGCATTGGCTGTCCAGTGACTTTATATAGATTATTAACATCCTGAGTCTCATATTGGTTGATCACTCAGCTACTAATTAAAATGTTGGCTGTTCAAACTCATGAGCCAACCTAGAGGAGAACATTGTGGCTATATAGTTCTATAATGATTTAAAGGCTGGAAACCCATGGGGAAGTTCAGCTACAATGAATTGAAACAAACTTGGTAGCAACAAGTTTGCCAACTGAGTCAGTCAAAATGCAATAATGCATAAAACCTACCTGCCACACAAAGCAAGCATCTGTAATGGGTAAGGGTGGGCCTATGCAACAAGCTTCCGTGCTTTGGAATCAGAAGCGTTAGGTTCAGTTGCTAGTGTGGCAGTGATGAGTCTTGTTATGTTGACAGTTCCTCCACCCATACAGTGAGCGCAGAAGCAGTAATGTCAGGAGTTGAAGCCAAATCGAGGGAGATGACATACAGGAAACGGCACACAAGACTGATTGCTCAAGTGGCAGCTCCTCTCCCAAACTCTGAATATCTACTAACTAACTGTGTTTCTACTGAAACCAAAGATCTCATGTTGAGATGCTATTTGCTGGGGATCTTGGGGACACTGAAGCAGTTGTACAGTTTTTCTAGATCTTTTCCTTACAGCTCTGGAAATATCCAGCAGTGCATGAAGCTATGGATGTATAAAATATGTTCCTGCACCTTTTTTTAAAATTTTCCTCCTAAACAACCACTTTATGAAAGAGTTAGGCAGGTGTTAACCCATTTAATAAGGTGAGGATGTTGGGGAAATTGTTAAAAGACCTCTTCAAGGAGAAACCACAGGTAACGTGAGAGTCAGAGTTTTAATCAAGCATGCGGCCAAGACAGTCCCAAGGACAGCCGGGTGCCTGGAACAGCCAGCACTATCAATAAATGAAGGCTGCTTCTGCTACAAAGAGGACATCTTTAACTGTTGCTTGATGACCATGCTTTATAACTTACTCATTGCCATCAACTGTGTTCAGACCTCTGGCGATCCTTGTCACTAGGCCTCTGGGTTTTCTGGTTGACCTGTGACTCAAAATCCATCATTTCCCAGTCACAATACATTTGTTCCTTTCCTCTCTATTTTATCTGTTTCTCCTCTTTACTGCATTTGTAAATGTTTTCTTTTTCATATTACACACCACAGACACAAATGTCATGAATAGCAATTACTATTACTTTGGCCATTTTCCCCCCTATTTATATCTTTCTTTCTCTAAGTAAAATGTCATTGTTCTGGAGTCAAAACCAACTCAAAGCTGATTCTCCAGCAGGTTTTCAGAGGCTGTAAATCACACAAGAAAGCTAGTGGAGAGGGAGCTCTGGTGGCCTAGGGATAAGGAGTTGAGCTGCAAACTCAAAGGCACACGGTTCAGATCCACCAGCATCACTGCAGGAGAAAGATGGGCAGTCTCCTCTCATGTGATTTACAGCTTCTAAAAACTGGCTGAAGGTACATGATACCAGCAATGTTGCCCCACAGAGTTTCAAACATTTTTACAACATAAATCTCTTACTAATGAATAAATTTCTTAAACCAGACCTTACAAGATATTTATCTAACAATACTATGGTCATATGTTCAGATTAAAAATTACTGTGTTGAAGCAGATAAGAGAGAGAACTGTTTAAAAGGGATATATGATTAGGTATTATTATCATAACAGGAGTCCAGAACAAAGGCTGCATAGTGGAGTAGACTTAAGGGGAGGGATTGTAAAACAATGAAAGAATTTTCCTCTTACTTTTCAAAGAGAGGAACGACCTGGAGGGGAGGGGTGGGCAAGAATGAATGAATGAATGGAAATCCAAAATCTCTGTAAATTTTCATTAAAATTTATAATAATAATAATTTTTTAATTACTGAAAGGAATAAAAATATACTAGTTAATACATCATGAATAATGTCTTCTATACAATGCCATAGCAAAAGATGAAACTTGTAGAAATATCATGTATGGTTGCTTTATATCCTTATGATTCTTTAAAATGTTAAGCAAATAGTTCTATACTAAGAATTATGAATTTTCTAACTTGGAATTATATTATACAAAAGTAGCAATGACTCTAATGCAGACTTTTCTAGAAAGGGGGAAATGGAGGCTATAAGACATTAAATCCATTAGTAAGAAACAAAAACTTCTCTATCATTTCTAAGGTGTAAAAAATGATGCTTTACAAATGTATATCCATATCAGTTCTCATTTAGACAAAGTTAACAACTGTTTGACTTATGGCCTGTAACTGGTAAACATTCTATACAGCACAGGTAGATTTGTGTTACAGTCTGCCTAGCCCTTTATTGTGAGTTGGAAACCCCTAACAATTCGTTCTTCATTTCTTCAATTGTCCCTGACAGAGGTGGGCAGTGAAACAGAGAGTAATGTGGATTCTGAATATGCAAGGACTCAGTTTGAGGATCTGCTTCCATCACCAACCTCTGAAAAGGCTTTTCTCGCACAAATCCAGGCCAGAAAACCTGGGTACATGCATGGTGGAGCGACCACAAGTACCATTCGCAGTGACATGTGAGTACATTATGCTTGAATGATTTGGAGGAACAATGTCAAATGAAAGGATTGTGTCCTTTCCCTGTCCACCAGAAGAAGTAGAAGCACACTGTGTTGCAATTTGGCATTTCTACATTTCTCTCAATGATCGCCAAGAAGTATGTTGATACTTACGGAGCCCTGATGGCATAGTAAGTTCAGTGTTGGATTCTTAATCATAATGATGGTGATTCAAACTTGCCAGCCATTCACTAGAAGAAAGATGAGGCAGTCTTCTTTCATAAACATCTATAGCATCAGACACCCTTTAGGGCAATTCTGCTCTGTCCTCAGGGTTATTTATGAGACTAAATTGAGTCATGCAGTGCATTTATCAAAACTTAAATCAACTAGCCGTCATTGTGAACCTGTTTCACCCAAGGAACTGTTTGTTCCCTGGTTGTGCAGTCATTAAGCACTGAACCAATGAAGGGTCAGCAGTTCAAACCCACCAGCTACTCAGCAGTAGAAAGGGGCTGTATTTTGCTTCCATAAAGATAAAGAAATTGAGAACCCTAGAGAAGTTTTACTCTACCCTGGAGCTTGTTATGAGTTGTATTTGACTCTACAACAAGTTTGACTTTTGGTTTGCCTTTGGGAAGCTCACAAAAGGGTTCCATAAATAAGTCGTGCTGACCCCTGGATCTGCCAACCTGCAGATGGTGCAATACATACTTTTGTGTACCACTGTGGAGAGAATTCTTGTCAGAATATGTGCAAGCATCATGTAAAACCAGTGTGGTAGGCAACATCTGGCCTCCAGTAACTCTGCAAGGGGAAGAATCCCTCAACATCCCACCACCAAGTCCTTCAAGGTCAGATATGCCACCGCACTCCCACACCCACTTCTATCAATTCTAACATCTAATTCCTCTCACGCCTCTGGTCCCTCTATATATTAGATTTGCTACACCATTGCAATGGCCACACTGCACTCACAAATCATATTCACAGTTATGGTATTTATTAATGAAATAACAAGCTACAGGTTAGGTTGGAAACACTCTGGATGCATTCTTCAGTTAGGAAAGCTGCTTTTCAGGTCCACTTACAGGAAGCTCTTTTTCTAACCTGCCTCACAGGGCCATCTCACAACGCTAGACCAATGCTAATAAGCTCTTTTCATTCTACCGCTTGTGATATCTCATGCCTCACTTAACACACATATACACACACACTCTTCACTAAACCTAGGTGAAGCCATCATCCACAGCATCATGAAGTGATAGTTCTAGTTCAGTGCTGTCTCACATGAGTCTCCAGTTCTCCACGCCTCCTCCTCCTGCTGCTGCTGCTGCCGCCAAATCAGTCTTCACCCATTTCATGCAGAAATCTCTGACACAAAAGAATGTGCTACACTACCTGTTCCTCCTTTTTTGATGGTAGCAAGAATCAACCTGCTCAATTTAAGCCTGGTAAGATGGCAAAACTGACTAACAATAACAGAATTGAAATCAGTAATTGTATAGAATATCATTGTTAAGTACTTCAATTCAGGTACCATTGAATATTGCACATCACAGGCATACTTCTGAGCAAGGAAAGTTCTTTTCACCCAGGTAGGCTTCTATACCTTGTCTGAAGCCAGTAGAGCCAGTGACGTTCCCCAGTAGACTTTCTGTGCTTTGTGGGACAGCTCAAAGTAGTCAGACAAGGAAAACAAAGCTGTAGCACAAAGGCAAAGCTGGGACAGACCTGCAGATCCAGCTGGGGAGAGAAGAGGAAAAAGAGTAAGAGGAAAGGGTGAGGTTTTAGGAAAATGAAGCTGACTCCATGGGTAATGGTGAGCAAAGGCTTACCAAATGCCAGAGGAAAGGATGAGTAAAGAAAAAAAAAATTACAGAAATGATAGTACTTGATGTGAAAAGTACATCAGATCCTTCTGGGAAAATAAGCAGCCTATATTAAAGAGCTGAAAGAGAAACTAAACCATGGACTTTCAGAAGCTTTGGCTCCAACCTAAGTAGTAAGTAAAAGACCAGTAATAATGTGGAATTATTAACAGGCTCAGTTTAAGAACCAGTGGTCGAGAGGTATAGCATATGATCCACACAAAGAAGTTCTAATGTGATTTATTGTCATTTGCTGGTTTTCATTATTTATTTCATTATTCATCATTTACTTTCTTTCCCACTCTTCTGTAAGCTTTTTTCCATTGGTTATTCAAAATGGTGAATTATCATCTCTTTTGTTTGATAAAATGTGTATCTATGTTATTATTATTAAGCATTTGCATGGTGGATACATGGAATCTCCTTGTTCCAATCCTAAGATCTGAGATGATGACAATAGCTGCTCCTTCCTCTGGCCCTGGTAAATCAGTTGTCATCACAGGCCACCAGAGACTGGCAGGGAAGTCTCACAGAGGCCTTTGGAGACTCGTCTACCCGGGCTCAATTCTCCAAAAATAACATGAGCATGTACCGTGGCTGTAAATAAATTTGAAAAGTGACACACAAATTCCAGCTCCCAAAACTTTTATTTGACCACTCTTAATTTTAGAGAGTGTTTTGATATCTGTAAATAGCTGTACTATCCAAACATGTAGTATGTCTTACCCTGAGGATATTTTCATGCTATGCACTAGGTGGTGAAACTTTGTTCAGGCTCATAAGGAGTTTTATATGCACTAGGATAAGTAGAAGGAGCTACAGCCTTGTAAATGAGATCATGTTTATTTCTTTCCTAGTATGGTTGGACCATTTAAGTGGATCCCTTAGTATCAGTATTTAAGATCACAAGTTATGTGCTAAAGCATTAAGGTACTCTGGTGGCAAAGTACACAGAGAGTTATGCTGCTAATCCAGAGGCTGTGTGTATCTGGTGGTTCAAATCCACCAGACGGTCCTTGGGAGAAAAATGAGTATTCTCCTCCTGTGTGATTTACAGCCTTGGCAACCCGGTTGAGGGGCAGCCATAATACAATTCCTACTTGGTTTGTTTGGTTTGGGGTTTTTTTTTTTAATTATTCCATTATTAAAACAAATATATGTGTCTGTGTATGAGATAAAAAAGAATTAAATTGTGAACAAATGGCCTTAAATATGTTTGACTACAAGGCCCACTCTTCAATAGTGTTCTTGACTTCCATTAAAAACAAAAAAGGCATCAGCAGTGGGGAAACTTTATATCTCCTTGAAAGACAGGTTGATTTTTAAACTTGGAAAGCATTTAAAAGACGGATTGTCCCAGTAACATAACTCAAATGCTTTGCCCTCAGAGATGTAAAAATCACACGGAAAGAGAATGCACATCTTTCTCTCTCATAGGTGCCAGTGGATTTGAACCACCACATGAGCATGGCTTTTGGATTAGCAACCCAACTCCCTAATGAATAAACCACCCCTGGAAATCTTTTTTTAAAAAAAAATAAATAAATAACAAACTTATCAGGTAGCACCAGAATTCCATAGGAAAACTAAATAACAAAATACCTTGACTGTCTGTGCCTCCTTACTCCCAAAGGTTTTTTTAGCCACATTTTGTGTGTAAATGAAGCTTACAGACACAGCTATGAACAACTAATGAAGGGGGGAGTCTCCCACAAAACTGCCGTTAACAGAGAATCCCACTCATCCTTTTTTTTTCTGAAGAGTGATTCCCAAATGCCACCTGTGGTCTTTCCTCAGTGTTACAGATGATGGGGAGCCCTTTGTGCGGCCCGAGGATGAGAACTTTGAAAACGACTCCGTCCGACAGCTGGAGAATGAGCTTAAGATGGAAGAATACCTGAAGCAGAAGCTGCAGGATGAAGCCTATCAGGTACCAGAGAGCCACGCACCCAGCTCTCCCCTCCAGCACCCAGCACTCCCCCCAGCCTGCCGCAGCTGGGCCTTTTACATTATTCACAAAATCAGTGCCGTCTTCTTCCTCCACCTCCCATTTCCAGAGTACCCTGGATACATTCCTTAATCTATATATTCTAGACAATTGTTGTTGTTGTTACATCCCAGTGAATTGATTATGACTGACAGTGATCCTATGAACAACAGATCAAAAACCTGGCCCTGGCCCTGTCCTGATCCATCCTCACAATCTCCACCATGCTCAAGCCCCAGTTTTCCTCATAGATCAAAATATATATATAAATATACATACACACACACTATATATATATATATATATACACACACACACAGTATATATATATACACACATTATATATACACTATATATACACACACAGTATATATATATATATACACATTATATATACACTATATACATACACACTATATATACACTATGTATATATACACACACTATATATATGTGTGTATGTGTGTGTATATATATAGTGTGTGTATGTATGTACATATATATACACACTATGTTGTTGTTGTTGTTGTTGTTAAGTGCCATCGAGTCATAGCAACCCTATGAAGGAGAGTCCTCGATACTTGGGTGCCTTTCATCCTCTCTCCAAGTTCATAGGATTTCCGGAGGCAAGCTATTATGGAAGTGGATGCCACTCCTCCTTCCAAATATACACTATATATATAAATATACACACACACACAAACACACATACATATACAAAAACAAGGGTCAAAGAAATGGAATAAGCATAATTGCATTACCTCTCTTGTGAGGGAAGGAAGGAGCCTTGGTGACGTAATGCGTTATGTGCTGGGCTGCTAACAGAAAGGTCAGTGGCTCAAATCCATCAGCCTTTCTATGGCTGAAAGATGAGTCAGTCGTCTCCCATTAAGATTTACGGCCTTGGAAGCCCAATGAAGGGTCACCGCGAAGCAGAAGCAACTCTACAGCAGGTGGGGGTGGTGAGGGAAGTGGATGCACATATCTCCCTTGAAGCATCCATCCTCTTACCCTCCTTGTCCACCAAATGTTTTATGTAAGTAGAAGAGTGATAAACATCATGGCAAAAGGGCTTCGGGTGGGAAGGAAACCATCATGGTGTGAATAGGAATTTTTTTTTTCATTTATCATAATAATCCATCGGAGAAGTCATTGAACGTGGCACGTGCAATTGATAATAAATATAATTATTCATTCATCCTGGAAGCAATAGCATTGTTCCCCAAGGGGAATAATTTATCTACTGCCTTGTTTGTCTTTCTTATCTGTCTTCTTCCCCTTCGATCTGCTGGTATTTTATTGGGTTTCCGGGAGATCAGGGACGTTGGCCATTCTGTTCTGTTCCATCATGCCAGGCCTTTGATCCTAAGGCCATCTGTCTGTCTCAACTTTCTTAGATCCATAGTGACCCTCCTACTCTGTTAGTGAAGGAAAGTAAAGCTGGAAGAACAAATTCTTTTATATGTCTCAGATGCTTAGAAGTGAAGCCTTGAAATGTTTTCCTAAAAAGAATGTGGAAGAGAGAAATCGAACCCACCATACCACCTCAATGGTACACCCCAAAGTTCACCCTTTTGGAGCATGTCATTTGCAGTTTAAGAGCTGCGTTTTGGAAGCAACAAAAAGATTGACCTAGTCATAAAAATATAAAGTAAATCAGAGAGATAATATATGAAAAGGAAACTCTGGTGGAATGGTTTATCATAGGGAGTTGCATTGTTAAACCCAAAGGCCACGCATTTCTGGTGGTTCAAGTCCTTCAGCGGCTCCACGGGAGAGAAAGATGGGCAATCCCTCCCATATGAGTTACAGCCCCCGAAATGCAATGGGGTCGGGCTCAGCTGAGTCAATGTGAGGTCAACTACAATGAGTGCTTTTTTGAGCTACAGCAAAGAGGCTCTCTGATAGCACAGGGCATTTCACTGCTAACCCAAAGGCCACTCCTCTCTGAAAATGCAAAACCACCAGCTGCTTCCAGGAAGAAAGGTAGATGAGCCAAGATTTACAGCCTTGAAAATTCACTGGAGGCTCATCTCTGAGTCACGGCTTTGAGGTTTTATGTATGAAAAGCCATCCTTGGGTGGTACAAGTACATTGATCTACTTCATAGGGCTTGAAACAAGCTCCGTGAAGGAGGGCCTGGAGAGCAATTTCCAAGACAGCAGCCTGTGAAGCACAGTTCTACTCCAGCACATCAAGAGTTGGAACTGACTTAGCAGTAGCCGGCTTTACACATGAATCCATATGCCAGTGCTCTACCTCGGGAGCTCTGGTGGCTTAGTGGTAAGAAGCTCCACTACCAGTTCAAAGGTTAGCAGTTCGAATTCACCAGCTGCTCTTTGGGATAATCTCCTCCTGTAAATGTACAGTCTATGAAAACTTGCTGGAGGATCAGCTATGGGTTGGTTTCAACTCAGCAGCACACAACAGTAACTGTGCTGCACCTGGCAAGAGACCCATAGAGGGTGCCCTTTTTTTGAACCCATGGAAGGGAACTGACCTGAAAGGAAGCTGAAGCAGCCATGGGAACCCCAGGGTTGGGGGGCGGATATTGCATGCATTCCTACTCAGGCTTGTTTGACTTGGCTACATGGGGATGGATGTAGCTAAATCTTCCATGTTCTAATCTGTACATGCTGTGAAAGACCTTGAACTCATCAGTGTCTGAATTTGGTTGACCACAGTGAAAGTGGGTGAAATTGTGGAAATTCTAATTTTTTTTTTCAGGGAAGCAGTCATTAAACATCCCGTATTAAATGCTTTCTTTTAATGCATTGAGAATTTAACCTGCTATGAGTATAATAAAAGGAAGTTCTAGTCATACCTTGGGATCTGCTGGAGTGTCACCATCACCTGGTATTCCCTTAAATTCCCCCTCTCTCTCTCCTTTCCCTTCCCACCCTGTGACTTCAAGGTCCAAGGCAAGGCAAGGGCCATGAAGTCAAGGGACTGGAAGACTCTAGCAGGCTTGTGTCCCCTTCTCAAGACCTATGCCCTGGAGAACACAGAGGTGGTGGCCTGAGCGCCCTGTCAGTATTGAACTTCTGATGAAATAGAATGCTCACTTCATTGCTGGACTTTCTCTCGCTGTCTTTGTGCATGGCTTTCAGCCAAATAATTCACCAGCTTGACTGCCTCACTTGACATGTCACCTTTCTTGTTTGTGTCCTTTGTCACCCACAGGTCAGCTTGCAAGGTTGAATGCAATATCCTTTTATCACTCTCCTCTCAAGTAAGTACCCTCTTATATATGAGGGACCATGGTCACTGGACATGCTGACACCCTTTCAATTCACTGTCCCTGTCACTCCGATGTTTCTATGTAGTCAGATGTCCTTCCCTACTGAGAGCAATCAGTATGATTGATTATAAATATAAGGATGTTCCTTTATAAGCTAGTGAAGTTTTGGCAGAAATCTTGAGGAGATGACTGGCAAGAAAACAAACAGGTCTATCCTGGAAAGGGTAAAAGCCAGGCCACTCCCTGGAGGCAAGGATTTTGAGTCTCACATACCTTGGGCATGTAGCCCAGGAGGGACCAGTCCTTAGAGAAGGAGACTATGCTTGAAAGGGTGGAGGGACAGTACAGGAGAGGAAGACCGAGGATGAGATGGATTGACAGTGACTGAAAAAATGAGATTAGGTCTGTCTGACTTGGGCCAGACAATGAGATTGACTCAGGTTAGGGCAGAGTTCAGAGCTAATGTATGTAGGGCTGCTAAGAGTCACAGGTGATTCAATGGCACATAACAACAACAACAACACATTCATTAGGAGAGTTTGCACAGAAACCTCTGCGACACTAAAAGTGCCCCAGAAATCCTCTGTGACTTTCGTAGCCACATCACCTATCCACAGCACTATTTAGGTTGTCATCTCACTAGCCCTTAAGAAGAAAGAAATGCCAAGCTTGTTAAGCACCGTTAGAACTGCATCTTCCTTAGGGATGCTGAAGGTAGGGCCCCAAAGATCAAAGGTTGTGTACTTTCACAAGTGAAGTGAAAAGCATGCATAATTAAGGGAAATAAAAGAAGGAGAAACATACAGGAAACCTTCTTCAGTTCTTTGTTTAGGGAAGGGCTGAGTCCAATCCATGGTGGAATTCAGCAGAACTCAAATTAATTTACAAATTCATCTCAGTACCATGTAATTTGAGCCTTAACGTCTGCCTCCACTGGCTGGCATGATTGCCTTAGTGTAGTAGGCTGAAGTTTTAGTTCTATACATCAGTAGACATGGTTTCAAATACAGGTTCTTGTACATACTGGCATCATTGCTTGAGGCAAATTCATTAAAACCCTGTGAGCCTCAGTTTCCCCTACACAACAAGGGTTGTAATCCCTTCCTTGTAGAGAAGTTGTATGCACTGGTGTGCTGTTTTTAAAGAGTTTCATATAGTAGTGAAAACACTACAATTTATTATGAGCATGCTACATTCATGCCGGTAGCTGTGCTCAGTTTTACAAAGAATCTAATAACTGGGGGCTACTGTAGTTATTCTAGACGTACATAAAGACCATCAGGGCCCAAAACTAGCTAATTCTCTCAGCTGTTAGAAACAAGGGTAGAACTCCGTTCGTTTGCTATTGATACACCTCAAACTAGACCATCACAAAAGTCTACCTGGCTTCTCTGCCTCAAGTAAATGGCCGTTGAAATGTCGCCCATTATAGATCATGACACATATACCTCCCACAGTAATCTGGTTGCCCTGACCCAAGGCCTTGCATATTTATACTTTATTTGAACCTTCTTCCCCAACCATAGAATCCTCTAAGTCTACAATGAAGGTGTCATTAAACTCTAAACTCTAGTTGTTAAATTAAAAAAGTAATACAGAGAGATAGAGAAAGAGAGGGATCCTAAATTTTCTGTCTGTTAGCCATGAATACATTTAACTAAAACAAGACTAACCCCCTGTCTTGATTGAGCAAGAAAAAATAATGGCATAACTGCTGTTACAAAATATACTTTGTGAGCTGTGAGGAGTCTGAGTGTGGAGCGAAGGATGGCATGCACACCTTCTGTTCTCCCTCCCTTGGGTTTGAGAACGCTACACCACATGTTCTCCTGGTTCAATACAATCAAAGTGCGGGAAAAAGCTCCCAGGAGCTGTTTCTGAAAATATTCACTCCAGTTATAACACAGAGTCCCAAAGGAACAAGCTGTTTCCTTTAATAGCGTGTTCTTTCTCTTAGCTCCAGCAATCTGATCATTCTTCATTTGAGTATTATTTAAACATCAGTAACGAGCTCTGAGGAAAATATAGTTTTGAGAACTAATAAGGCATCCTTGACATGAGCCCAGATAAAAAGGCACATTTGATCCTTGCACCTAACAAGCCAGAAATGCCAGTACTTTAAAAATGCTTGGGTCATTTTTCTCTTTTGTTGCAAACCCGGCAGTGATTTGTGACATTTCCCAAGCCTTATACCTACCTAGCTGGCATTCCAAGGGACCCTCCCTTGAACCAGCCTGTCACTAACTCAGCCCCTTAAACAAAACTCATTTAAAACCAAAGAGAACACTGCAGAAGTTAATGGCTTTTCACCGTAGTTCTCTCTTCCTATAATTTTTCCTAATGAAATAAGTCAGTGCAGCTCAAATTTTAGAACAATGTGTATAATTGAAATATAGTTGTTTGGACTTTCTGACTATGTCACAAGACCATAAATTACCCCAGAGCGTATGCCTCTCCAAAGGTCCTAGAGCCAACGTCATCAGCCACACCCACCAGCCATCCACTGAGACAGAAACCTACAAGAATAAGAGGCAGAAGGAGGGACATCAGTCCAATAGAAGACCCAGCTTCTTCTCAAGTAAAGCTATAGGCCTATTTGAAAATAAATTCATGCTCTGGTGGCCTAGTGGTAAGGAGTTGTGCTGCCAACCCAAAGGCATGCAGTTCAGATCCACCAGCTGCTCCATGGGAGAAAGGTGGCCAGTCCACTCTCACGGGATTTACAGCCTCTGAAAATCCACTGGAGGGTCAGCTGTGAATTGATTCCAACTCCAGGGCACCCAACAACAACATATTAATGTATCTAAAAGAATGAATAGAATTAAACCCGATCTTCTGTTTATCAACTAGCCCTTTGGGGGAAAAATTTAAATATACATAATGTTAAGCTTTCAAACTGTAGAGCCCACTATGACTCTGTCTGGGACAGCTGAAACCTAGGGTTCATCCCTTAAAACCATCCCCTAGCCATGTAAAACATCATTCTCTTTGTTCAGCCATATCCTTATATCAGATTTGGAGAGAATGGATTAAAAAGAAGATTTATTTTTGGGAAAAAAAAATAAATCGTGACAGACAGTATCAGGTCCTTGTTCTTCCCCTACTGACCAAAGATCATTCAGATGTCTCTAAGACGCCATCCAAAAGATTCTGTGGCTTTTCTTTCAGAAGGTGCTACGATGGTGATTCCCGATTGTCACAGGAAGAATATAGAAAGCATGTGTGTGTTTGTGTGTCTGTGTCAGGGATAGGGCTCCAAAGGCCTTGACCCTAGTTTAGAAAAAATTTTCATCATATTAAAAAAAAAAAAACAAAAAACAAAACTGTATCACACATTCCTTATTCCCAGGCAAGCTCTAGTCAGACAGATGATGAAAGCCAGAGGAGAGATGCCGATGCCGGGGAGCGCTGCACCCACACACAGACAGAGGAGGACACGAGCAGCCTGGCAGCCACGTCATCGAGGAGAGGAACCACCCTACGCAGCCCCTCCCGGCAAGACCCCACCCCTAAAGATGTGCTCTGCTGATTCGAGAGCAACTAACATTTTTGTTCTAAGATCTGTAGTTCATAGGTGTGTGTGTTTTGAGAAAGGAGAAAAAAAACAACACAACAAACTTTTGTTTTAAAGCTAACTTGTCAACTCCATCTTCTGTAAATTGGCTCATTCCTGGTCGAGAACACAGGCTGGCCCCTACCCGCACTGCTGTTGCACACGATGGCAGTATTAACACGCATCTCCAACCTTTGCACATGCTGTTTGGTTTACAACAACATTAATGCTGTTGATAGCTAGACGTTTGATTTCTGAATCCTCTGAAATTTTAAGCAAAAGCGTTTATTGTACACTGGACATTTCTCTCTCTCTCTCCACAGCAACTGGAAAAAAACAACCTCTTGTAATTAGTCACTCACCCTGAAGGTTTTGCTCCTGAATGTGTAGACGCAGAGTCCCAAGGCCTAAAAGGGTCCTCAGCCTACATGGTCTACCTTGATGCCAAGTCTCTGTGAGCAGTGACTTGGGTCAAACACATCAGGAGAATCCATTCTCTGGGGCTTCTTTCCCACTTGGGGTTGTTTTCTTTCAACAGACTCTAACAGATCAGCCATAGAATTTAGTGTAAATAATTTTTTTTCCAAATAGGTATCATATTCAGAAAAAAAAAGAGACAACATTCGAATGATATAGATTCTAGTTTTTAAAATCAGCACAGATCTTCTTAAAACTGTGAACTATGTTTTGAAATACTCGTTACTAAAGCTGTTTATAAACCACAGGTGCCATAAGATCCCCAAATGGATTAAAGTGATCTATGCTCTCCCCTGGTCTTGTTTTCTTCTCGTTTTAGCTTTAGGGAGCATGTCTTTAACTGCACCACTCATCCATTGAGTCCCCCTCTATCAGGTTGTTCAGAGGCCTTTAGCTTTAAATGTACAGGCTTAAAGTGCGCTTGCAAACGTGAGCTCTCCTTTTCTTTCTGAATGTTTTATTGCCTTAGCTGGCCACCTGGTGTTCTGCATGCAGCCTTCTGTGGTCCCGTGAGAGGAGACGGGCCTTCGAAGTTGAGAAGCTGAGGTACAAAAGGACTGTTGAGGAAAGAGCATGAAAGGTTCTATGGATGGTCCTTTGTGAGCGTCATTTGAAGGGAGGCTTCAAGACCTCCCTTCCTGAGGGAAAAAGAAAATCATTGTCTCTTCACTGTAAGGTTTCTTGGGGAGGAAATGTCCAAGTTTTTTGACACAGTCTACAGAAGAAAAAAAAAGAGCCTGTTTCTCCTTTCAAAGAAAGGACAGCGTTTGGGAGCAGTGGCTCTCCAAGTGTGGTCTCTGAACTCAGCATCTCTGGGGAATTTACTAGAAATGCAAGTTCTTAGGCCCCACCCCAAGGCCAGCTGAACGAGGAAATATGAATGTTGGGTCCAGCAATCTGTGTCTTAATAAACGCTGCTGCTGTTTCCGGTGCAGACTATATAGGTTGAGAGAGGGGAGAAAATCCCTATTTTGTAACGAGGTTGTGTTCAGATCTCTGAACAGGCCTTATTCAGAATGAACAAGAAAGGATCTGAGTCAATCCCAAAGCTTCAGGGCTGAGATTTTGCTTCCAGGGCTGCAAAAGCCTTCTCCTGCCCCCCTCCCAATGTATAGGCCTTAGTTGTTGGGGGTCCA